TCAGTAGTTGGAACAGTGACATGGTGACAGGTGGCTGCAACAGAGACTGGAAAATATGCATGGATTCGGGAAAAAAGTCAGAATCCTTTTATTAAAAAGAAGGGAAGAATGCATTTTGAGACAGCTAGCAATCCCTGCTACACTGCTCAAAATAATGTTTGTTGAATTGAATTGGATCAATTGGCCAGAACTGGTGGTGGTGTTCTTGAGTTATTTTGTTCTTGAGGTATTTTGAGATATGTTGTTGAAGATATTTTATCTTCCCCCTTGAAAAATGGGGTAGGAAGTTTCTGTACCTTTAGTGTGATAAGTGTGGGACTTGGGAGAGAGAATGCTGACATAAATACATCTTTGGCTGACACCAACTTACTCTGGGCAAGGACATTAAGATGCTTGTGCTCTTTTATCCTAAGGAAGTTGGGTGTGAACACGAATGGTGTGAGACAAATGCTTTCAAGTTCCACAGTATGTGCCAGGCACATTGTAAGGTGAAAATGAAGTGCTCTGGTGACAAATGAGAACAATCTGAGGATCTCTCCAGTTTCCTCCACATAGTCACCACAGGGGACAAAATCTGGAGAAGCCTCCAGTTCCCTCATGAATTTGGAAATCATTGGCATTATAAGTGGTTCCATCACTTGTGTGTTTGTATGACCAACCAACAGTAAGTTATTCAACATTGCTAAGCCTTAGTTTCCTCATCATTAAAATGAGAATAATAAAAATCCCTATGTTCTGGGCTTGCTGTGAGGATTTAAAAAAATGCATGTAAAGAGCTTTGCTCCGTGCCTGGCACATACTAAATACTCAATAAATATTAACTATTCTTATTAATAATGCAAAAAAGAGCAGAGGAAAAATGCCTAAAGTTATGTTCCTAGGAGAGCAAGTCCTGGTTGGATGATTAAGTAATTATAGGAAGATTATGTGTCAGTCAGAAGTGGGGAGCAGTCATGGAGGGCCTAGGAAAGCACACAACACACAAAGGCCAGCCCACTTGTCTGCCCACTCTTACTGAGAGGCCTTCTTAATGAATTGGTTTGGATTCTTGGGGTCTCAAGGGAAAGGCTCTCTCAATTGTGGATAAAAGTATATATGGCTATATTAGCATGATGCCATTTTGCATTTGATTTTGGTTCCTCATTGAGTATATAAACTTGTGATTGTAATTTGCCTTGCCTTGTAGATCTAAGTACAGGGAAAGAATGCATGGGCCATATTGGCTTGAGTATTCAGCTGTGACTCCCATTGTAAGATGAACAAAGTGGCATTCTGATGTTACACATTATTCTCTTTGAGGTTGGTTAATGTGAGTCTGCCACCCAAGTGAAAAAACATTCATTGTCTCTGCCCACCATGTGCTTCATAGGCATCTTCTTTTGGAACTTTTTCCCACAAGTTTTTACACCAAGTAATGAATATAGGAAGCTGTCACCACAGACTCATTGAGGGCCCAGTGGTTGTCAGGCACTGTGTTAAGGACTGGGGAATACTGCGGTGAACAAAAGGGACACTATCCCCACCTTGTGGAGATTACAGTCCAGCAGGACAGAGAGTTGGTAAGCTATTACTACATCATCACAGACTATGCACTGCATGATGTCAGAAAGAAGCCCGGTCTCAGGGGCAGTAAGACAGGGAGGTGGACATAGACAGGCTGGTGTAGGAAAGGTTCCCTCTCAGTCTCCACCTGAGACCTGGAGGACGAGTGGGAGTATGGAGACAGCACAGGCCCCACACTGGAGTCCGCGTGTTCCTCTTCCACCTTTCTGTCATGGGTGTTGGGTGGGGAGAGGGGAAGCTACATCATGAGCCCTGTCCCCTTGAATCTGGACCTGTCCACTCTGTGTGTTCCTTTGAACATCCCCACGCTTGTACCCTGTGTGTGGTAGCCACTGCAGCCCGATATTACAGCCTCCCCTAAAATGTGGAAAACCCAACTGCTCAGAAGGAAGCCTGTGTTCCTGGGATGTCATGAGGGAGGGATAAGGAAAGACAGCATCACAATATTCATCCTGGCAGGATGCTGTCTCCATTCTTCAGAAACCAACTGAATGGGTATTTAGTGTTCTGTGAATCTTTGCTTTTACGTACATTTTTTTAAAATTTTTTATTTAATTTTTTATTTTTAGACGGAGTCTCGCTGTCTCCCAGCCTGGAGTGCAGTGGCATGATCTTGGCTCACTGCAACCTCCACCTTCCGATTTCTAATGATTCTCCCGCCTCAGTCTCCCAAGTAGCTGTGATTACAGGCATACGCCACCAAGCCCAGATAATTTTTGTATTTCTAGTAGAGATGGGGTTTCACCATTTTGGCCAGGCTGTCTGGAACTCCCGACCTCACGTAATCTGCCTGCCTTGGCCTCCCAAAGTGCTGGAATTACAGGTGTGAGCCACTGCACCCAGCCTATGTGACCTTCTTTTGTTTTTATTTTTTAATCAAACGTGTCTTTGCTGTTTTCAAACAAACACATGGAACACACTCTCACAGAAACCTAACAACCAAAAAGTGTTGGAAAGGAAAAGCGGCTTTGTGGTTTACATTAAATAATACATGCTTATTCATAATTTCTCTTTTCAGCCTGTTAGACTCCATTTTTAAGTAGAAAACAGAAAGACAGCCATCAGGCCCAAGAGAAGTCTTAAATATATCTTTGAAGTTTGGAAGTGACTCACGCCATGAGTCTGGAAGTGTAGGTTTCTTTTGAAACATGCACTGCTGCCGCAGCTGTGATCACTGCCTCCTCGGCACTGGCGGCCTAGGTGGGCAGCAGGGCTCATGTTAGCTGTGACTGGTTGTCACCACATCCCATAGGACACGCCTGCTCCTTCTGTTGCCAGCCCTACATTCTCCCCCTCCTGCCTGTCTAGACAGCCCCTTCCCTTAAAGGAGAGACCCTGCGAGCTCTGCGCCGACCCTGCCTGCAGCACACACACTGTGCCCTCCCGTCCTTACTCCGCTTGGTGCTAAATCCTCGCCTCCATTCCCTGTCTCTGTGTAAACCTCGTTGGCTTATGAAAGTCTCCCTTGGTCCACAGACTGATTTCCCCAGGACGGCCTCTGTTCCACAGCACGCATCACACTTGCAGTCACTTGCGGAGAGCTGATCTTCCTGGGAAACTCTGGGTCCTCCTTGGCAGAGACTGTGTCTTCCTGCCCATGGTTGTGTCCTGGTGCCTAACACATCACAGGTGCTTAATGAATAGGTTTCTTGTCTGAGAGATGTGGCTCCTCCTTCCCAGGACCACAGTCAGGTTTCTCAGAGTCAGGAGTGGGCTCGGAGCCCCTGTGCACCCCAATCCTGTATGGCACCATGGACGGTTCCACTTAGACCAACTGGAAGGACTGGTAAGATCCATCAGCTCAAGCCCTCCTTTGCAGATGTGGCAACAGGATTAGTTTGCTAGGACTGTCAAACAGAGCACCATAAACTGGGTTGGTTAGACAACAGAAATGTATTGTCTGCCGGTTCTGGAGGCTGGAAGTCTGAGATCAAGGTATCAGCAGGGTTGGTTCCTAAGGACAGTGAGGAAGGATCTGTCCAGGCCTCTCCCCCAGCTGCTGGTGGTTTGCTGGCCTTTTAGTGTGCCTTGGCTTGAGGAAGTATCAGTCCAATCTTCACATGCGCTCTCTCTGAGGGTGTCTGTATCCAAATTTCCCTTTTCTTGTAAGGACACCAGTGATTGGATTAGGGCCTACCGTAATCGCCTCATCTTAACTTGATCATCTTAAGTTAAGTTGTCTATTTGCAGATAAGGTCACATTCACAAGTACTGGGGGGAAGGACTTCAATATATTTTAAGGAACCCAATTCAGCACTAAACAGTGACTCAGTTAATAACACATCATTCTCCCTGCTGAAAGATGATCCTACTCACCCATGCTTTATAGAATAAAGGGGTCATGCTGTTTTCCCAGGTGTAATCTTATTTGTTGCTCTTTGTGAGCAGGAACTGGAAGACAGAGGAAAATCCTGGTTATAAAGTAAGAGGTCATCTGCCGTGTGGCACATGGTCTGCACACGGTGTTTCAGCTGACTGGCATCAGGCCCCCTTGACTGCACGTCCCATAAGAAGCTCAATCACAGGAGTTGTTAGTCTCCTGGATCAATAAACAATTATTTAGAGAAAGTGACTTTGTCAACAATTTAATTAAAATCACCCAACCTATGAAATTAGAAGTAATTCAAGTTTGAGCACATATTAGCTGTGTGGCCTAGGCAAGTCAGTTGTCTGGATAGCAACATACTCTGTAAAGCACTGGGATTAGGTAACTTCTGAAGACCCTTTCGGCTGGAAACTTCTTTGGATTATGTGGTTCTTTTCGTGTTGAAAGCAGAAAAGTCCTCTAAGGAGTTGGGATAGACAAGTATGAAAAGAAATTAAATGAAGTGCTTTTCCTCTTCATTATCATTGTAGATATGAGGTAGTTCTTGCCTCTGCACAGAAGCAAGATGCTAGATCTCTGTTTTGATCCACTTTTATGTACTCAATGTCTACTCCTTGCAAGAGATGAACCACCACACAGGACATGGGACCTCTGCTGATAGGGTACCATTCCTGGCTCACCCTACTGGTCCCACCCTGTTGGGCTGGTGGTGTTAGAATTTACATGGGTTGAATGTATCATTTTCATCTTCAAAATAACCAATTTTCCAAAGAGTTATTTCTGTCAGTATCTAATAACATATTTAAGAACCAAATCAGAGTGTCAGTTGTACAACCAAGTCTTCAGGCTATAGACACTCACTCTTTACAATCTTGGCATAAAAAATCTTACTAATAATAGTATCTTGACTATAAATAGAGATTTTCTAATGTCCTCTCCTGCTATTGTATTGCTTATTACAATGCTAAATGTATCATAATCCCTTTTTTTGGCCATAAAACTGTGCCCCTTGATTGTGAGAAGGATATAAAATAGACCAGATGTCTTAACCAAGTTTGGATAAATCAGTCATCACCTTCTTTTTTTTCCAAGAAGAATGAGGCATAACAGCTTGAGTGATGCACAGACTTTATTTTCCATTTGGTCTTTCCAAAGCAAACAGAACCAAGGTGTAAAGTCTGCTAACGGCACTGTGTCAGCTGTGTGGCATTCAGTTTTAAGGACGCAAACGTCGCTATTGTGAAAAGAGAGGGAGGTTAAATTGTTAGTGTTTAGTCTCGTTTAACATTGAGACCAAAAATAACAACCTCAGGAGAAAGATAAAGAGAATGACTAATGAACTCAGCTCTAGTTTAATGTTTGAGAGGAGCATAGACTTTGATATGAAACTAGGAAGACGAGCTCTTAATATGGTAGCTTTTCCCTCAAATATAAGATTTCTTAGATTTAAATTTAAACAGTAAATTATTTTAGAATTTTACTTTTTGCAAAAAAAGGTAATAATAAATACAAGAAGTCCCACTCAACAAGGTCATAATGAGGCAGAGTGGATCTGCAGTAACATAACAGTAGTCAGACACCAGAGCATTTTTTAATCCCAAAATTTTATAGAATGTGTTATGTGTTGTTCACTAGATGGGTGTTGAATATACATGGCATTTAAAACACAAAGCAACATTACAAGATTGGAACAACTCCAATGTTTACATGAAGAAAACATAATATAGAGGGTTAATAGTCTGCTCAGGTTCATCCAGTTAGGAAGTATTTAACACTAAACTCAGGAATCAAGCAGGGAGCAGGATCATTTGACTCAAGTCCTGAGCTTTCAGAAAACTCAAGTTTTCCTATGAAGAGGACCTGCACATGTGCAGATACTGCTCTCATGCTGCTTTCCAGGTGCGAGAATCAGATGAGCACAAAGGCTTGGTTGTGATACCAATTCCGACGGCATCATTAATCTAAGCCAGGCCTATACCATGGAGTTAGAAGGAGAAGGACTGGAAAAAGTCCTGGTGATGCGCCCATGACAGTCTGAGGCACTACAGGGCACACAGAGATGAGGGAAACACAGTGCCTAGGAGCACTTTTAGGTAGTGTACATATCATGATAACAGGGAGGCTCCAGGTGCCATGAAACAACTGTGAAAGAATGCTATTGGGAGCTGAAGCGGGGTGAGACCCTGGTAGCAAAGGTCTTTCTGAAGCCCATTCCACGTATGGCTATTGCTGGTGGTGACCACAGCACTAGGACAGAGGAGAGGAAAGGTCTGTTAGAGGAAGGGGAGCATGGCACGGGCCTCAAGGATGGGTAGGTTTTGGGTAAGAAGAAAGGGGGTGGGAGATGGCATTCTGAGCAGAGGGAATAATAAGAGAGGGGCATAAAGAGGAGCATCACTTGGGACAAATATTGGGAGATGTAGCCCTAAATTTGTAAGACTGGGGCCTGGGAGCATTCCTTTCCAGGGATTCTAAACTTGGTCTGAAGATTGTCTAAGAAATCTGGGAAGAGGCTTTGGTTAGTCTATGAAGTTTTATTTGAAACTAAATATATGTGCATGTTTCACTTATCTATATTGTTGGATTAAAAAAAAAAACGCCTCAGAGATAACTTCAAAATTAACTGCCTTACAACAACAACTTATTTCTTCCAGTTCTGTAATCTGTGCTGGGTTAGCCAGGAACTAAAAAATTGTTCCAGAACCCCAGTCTGGTGTTTGGGGCCCTGCCACCTGTTTTCAGGCCTCCTTCATGTTCAGTGCCTCTCTTCCTGCCAAGAGTTTGAAGTAACAGCTAACCCTATCAAGGGATTCCTCATCAAAGGACATCTTTGGGGATACTTCTATATTTTATATTGAAACTTCCACTGCTGTCAAGTACAGAACTTGTACAAAAGAGTGGGTGTCTTGAAGGCCAGTCTTGACTCAACACAAATAATAACATTCTTTTATCCAGAGCTGTTCAACTATGAACTTCGTCCCAGGTCAATGAGTCCTCTACTAGTAGATGATCTGAAGCAGAGGGTGGATACTATGACTCAGGGGTTCTGCAGATACAAATCCTTCACCCCAAGACTCCACTGCACCAGCAGATGCTCTTATGATGATCTGGAAGCTTCGAAGGGTCCTGATTTAGTTGTTCCCTAATGTAACAAGGATACCGAGATGGAGAAAAACCAACAGTGTTAGGAAACAGTAGTGTACTTGATAACTGGAAGCACAAACAATGTGTATTTCTTTCTTTAAGAAAAATTAATTTTTTAATTTTTAGTTTTTGTGGGTACATGCTAGGTGTATATATTTATGGGGTGCATATGTTTTGATACAGGCATGCAATGTGTGATAATCACATCATGGAGAATGGAATAGCCATACCCTTGCATTTATATTTTGTGTTATAAACAATCCAGTTTACTCTCTTTTAGATATTATAAAATGTACAATTAAGTTATTACACTCGTCACCTCATTTGCTATCAAATAGTAGGTCTTTTTAACTTTTGTTTTTATTTTAGGTTCAGGGATATTTAGGTTCATGTGCTGGTTTGTTATATAGGTAAACTTGTGCCGTGGGTTTGTGTATGGATTATTTTGCCACCCAGGTACTAAGCTTAGTACCCAATAGTTATTTTTTCTGCTCCTCTCCCTCCTCCTGCACTCTATCCTCAAGGGGGCCCCAGTGTTTGTTGTTCCCTACTTTGTTCCCATGAGTTCTCAAAAATAATGTCTATTTCTATAGCACCGTGATCAATGGGCGAGAGTGGAGTTCTTTCTCACGTGAGTGTGTGAGCAGAGAGAAGGCAGGCACGCTTTCTTAATCATTCTGTAGTTGCTGCATTCAAAGGTTCCCACCTATGTGCTATTTACATATTCTGGGGAGAAAAAGAAAGAATGAACATGTCAGACTCTTTTTTTTTTTTTGAGACAGAGTCTCACTCTGTCACCCAGGCTGGAGTACAGTGGTGTGATCTCGGTTCACTGCAAGCTCCACCTCCCGGGTTCATGCCATTCTCCCACCTCAGCCTCCCAGGTAGCTGGGACTACAGGCGCCCAACACCATGCCCGGCTAATTTTGTTTTTGTATTTTTAGTAGAGGCGGGGTTTCACAGTGTTAGTCAGGATGGTCTCGATCTCCTGACCTCGTGATCCGCCCGCCTCGGCCTCCCAAAGTACTGGGATTACAAGCGTGAGCCACCGCACCCAGCCAGAACATGTCAGACTCTTAACACTGATTAATGCTGTAATCAGCCTGGCAACAGCTGCTCGCTTAACAACTTCATTTGCAGCCACAGAAGTGTGTGTTTGTACTTCTCTTGCATTACTTACCGGCAACCTAATTTATATTGAGCCTCTTCTCACGCTTTAAAGATGTTCTTCAAAGATATGGTAGATGTCAGCAAAGTCATCACCAGTCATGTAAAGTGGATGATGCCATTGGGGTCACAGTGAAGAGATCCTAACCTACGGGTTCTCATTTTAATTTGGAATCCTAGTATAATTAATTATCCTTATTCTAGACATGTAACAGATCTGGTTACAGTCAAAGGCAGGGAAAATATTAGAAGTCTGGAAGTGAAAACACTGGGAAGTGATTTATCTTCAGGACAAGAGTTAATCTCTTTCCACTTTGGGCCTGGAAATTCATGGGTTTTGTTTTCTAGATAAGACTTCCTATAACACTGGCCAACCAGAATATGTTGGTTGGCAATTCTAGGTGTGGACGGTGCTATCAGTAGCCCCAGGTTAAATTTTATAGACATTTCTGAAAACTTGGGTTGATTAAGCTGATTGATCAGGATAGTTTTAAGTTTCTTTGTAATGTATGATGTTATTTGTAGTTGCTCTATGTATTATGCTAATAATGTATATATGAAATGAAAATTTAATTTTTTTTTTTTTTTTGAGATGGTGTTTCACTCTGTCACCCAGGATGGAGTGTAGTGGTACAATCTCAGTTCACTGCAACCTCTGCTTCCTGGGTTCAAGTGATTCTCTTGCCTCAGCCTCCTGAGTAGCTGGGATTACAGGCACAAGCCACTATACTCAGCTAATTTTTGTATTTTTAGTAGAGATGGTGTTTCATCAAGTTGGCCAGCCTGTCTCAAACTCCTGACCCCAAGTGACCTGCGCACCTCAGCCTCCCAGAGTGCTGGGATTACAGGCGTGAGCCACCGTACCTGGCTGAAAACTTCTTTAAATCAGGGAAAGCTATCTGAATAGATGGGAAACAACTGCCTATTTTTGGTGTAAAAAGTGTCAATCATTTATATGTGATTTATACGTAAGAGGGAACATGTTGCTGTCATATTTACTGAAAGATAAATGCTAAAAAAGAATATGCCTTCTATGTAGTTTTTCATATTTACTTATATACTTTTTTTGCTTATGAAATTTTGAGACTAGTGTATTATCAGATTCACACCCTCTTTAGTGTGTTATGAAGCAGTCACATGTATTGCGAATTACTTATGACTACTACTGATAGCTAACATGATTTTTTACTAGATGCTATGCTACTTTATCTCATTTAATCCTCAAGATAATATTGTAAGATATATACTATCATAACCTCCCCATATTGTAGATGAGGAAATGGAGGCTTAGATTGCTTAACTACCCATCACAGAGCTGGAAAGCATACAGGAGGGGCTCAAATCCAGGTGTGACCTTTGTTAAACTGCACTTTTGAATCAGTGCACCGCACTGGTTGTTCACACGGTGCCTTGATAACTTCAGACTTGGACAACTTCCAATGATGAGAGTTTGGTAGACATTTTCAGAGAGGAGGAGATGAAAGCATGACAAACATTTTCTAATTATAGAGTGAGAAATAGGAGCTCAGAGGAATCAACTAATTTTTAATTTTTTAATTTTTATTTTTTTAGGGACAGAGTCTCGTTCTGTTGCCCAGGCTGGAGTGCAGTGGTGCAATCATAGCTTATTGCAGCCTTGAACTCCTAGTCTCAAGTGATCCTCTTGCTGCAGCCTCCTGACTATCTGGGACTATAGGTGCACCATCATGCCTGGTTAATTTTTTATTTTATTTTTTGTAGAGATGGAGTCTTGCTATGTTGCCTAAGCTGGTCTTGAACTCTTGGCCTCAAGTGATCCTCCCTCCTCAGCCTCCCAAAGTGCTAGGATTATAGGTGTGAGCCACTGCACCTGGCCTAATTTTTTAAGAATGTTAGTTGACAAAAATTACTTGAAATTTTCCAAAAGCAGTTCTACATCTCATGCTCTATTTCATTTCTTTTGCCTCTGAATTTTACTCTGGAAGTGAAATATTTTAAAATTTCTAATGAGGGTCCCAGGATCATATAGTACCTTTCAAATAAAAATATCCTATATCATGTGTACACAAAATGAGCTGCTGTGTTCTTTTGTTTAGTTAATCAAAGAAGAGCTTTCAGCATTTATTAAGCACTACACATCCTGCTAAGTAAAGTACTTCATTTAATCTTCACAAGCATGGTGTAAGCTGGTATTACTATAGCTGAGGAAACAGTCCCAGGGCAGTTAAGTTCCTTAACAAAAGTTGTACATATTGTAAGCCACAAAGCTGGGATTACAACCCACTCCTGCCTCATCCCCCTTCTTAGAAACAGATTTACTGTCCCCTGAAGATGAGGGAAATAAAGCCATTTCCCCAAATAAGCAAATTCTATTCTTTTAGTTACCTTGCAACTGTCTTAGTTCCAATGCTTCACTTGTAAGGTTGGATGCTTAGTCAACATGAGTTCTAATTCAAAACCTGCCGCAAAGTTTCAAAAACTGCGCTGGTGTGTTGTTTCAAGAACTCAATCTAATCACTACAGTCTTTGTCTAGGAAACAGACATTAGGGGCCTCAAGTGTCCAGATTTCCACTTGGTGTTATCTCAGTAGACGCACAGCTGCAAATCAGTAGCAACAGACAGCCTCGTTTAATGATTCTTAACACTTTCCTCCAAATGAGAGAGAAAACTAAGCAAACTGAGGATGAGACTAGTCAGCATGTTTTAGATACATAAAGACTCAAGAAGCTGAAATGCAGGATTAATTCTGAAGGCTGAAGAGCTGGAGGTATTAATGACTCACCTTCCTAAGGAGACCAACTCCTCTCTTGGCACTTTGAGTGATGAAGACTCTGGTGTCTTGTGGCATTTTTCCCCCCTGCGGATGGGGCATTTGGGATTACTGAGTTGCCTATAGGAATGAGTCTTAACATTCTCTTACATCCTGTGTGAGGGAGAAGTTCTGGGTCAGCATCCTTATGACACATGGTCCTGTAAGTCTGTTCTGATCCTGATTCAAAGCTTTGAATGGGTCCAGCATCCCTGAAACCACCATGGAATGGTCAGCAATCTAAATGTGGTCATTGTGCATCAGGCTGCTATTCCTTTGTCCTGTTCGCAGTTAGGGAAGCAGGGACCTCTCTACCCCACTCTGTACTCTGGTGTTCCCCTGGCCTCTGAGCCTAAGTTCCTTATTCCTACGAGTTAAATACATGTTCCAATCCCTTCCTCAGAATCAGCCTGCACACAGGGAACTGCAATGTTCACCAACTTCTCTCCAGGACTGGTAGACGCAGCCTGTCTCCTGGGAGTGCAGTGCTCTGCTCCCTCACATTCTTCCTGGGTCAGGAGAGGACCTCCTGTCTGTGAGAGCCCTGGACCAGGTACCAACAAACCCTGACAAAGGTGCTGTAGTAATGGCCCAGAGCAGCAGAAAAAGCAAGGCTTTTTTAGACAAATGACTTAAATCGTGACTCCAACACACATTCAACTGGCTCGAAGGCCCCAGGAAACTCAGTTTCCTTATCTGTAGAATGAAGTGAATAACTGCTGTGCAGGTCAGAGTCAATGTATATAAAGCACTTGGTGTAATGCCTGGCATGTAATAGCCACTTCATAACTGGTAGCATTTATTATGTCTTTCAATGAACTTTCTGGATAGTGAGAAGCAAAATGTAATGTAGACTTTTTGTTTTTTTTTTTTTTGAGACAGAGTCTCACTCTGTCGCCAGGCTGGAGTGCAGTGGTGCGATCTCGGCTCACTGCAACCTCTGCCTCCTGGGTTCAAGTGATTATCCTGCCCCAGCCTCTCGAGTAGCTGGGATTATGGGTGTGCAAATCACACCCAGCTAATTTTTGTATTTTTAGTAGAGATGAGGTTTCACCATGTTGGTCTGGATGGTCTCAATCTCTTGACCTCGTGATCCACTTGGCCTCCCAAAGTTCTGGGATTGCAGGCCTGAGCCACCATGCCCAGCCTCACATATACATTGTTAAGCCTTTGGGATAGTTTGTAATATCGGAAACAGTGAAATCAGGATTTGAATTCTTATGCAGTAGTCCCAGTGATCTTTAGAGAATGCACATCTTGCAGATCACCTGAAGTCAAGAGTTTGAGACCAGCCTGGCCAACATGCCGAAACCCCGTCACTACTAAAAATACAAAAATTAGCTGGACATGGTGGCGGGCACCTGTAATCCCAGCTACTTGCAAGGCTGAGGCAGGAGAATTGCTTGAACTCGGGAGGTGGAGGTTGCAGTGAGCCGAGACTGTGTCACTGCACTCTAGCCAGGGTGACAGAGTGAGACCCAGTCTCAAAAAAAAAAAAAAAAAAAAAAAAAAAAAAAAGAAAAAAGAGAGAGAGAGAATGCCCATTTTGGCTTTGATGGTCTCACCTTTCTTAGGCATTTTAAAGGTACACCTGACAAGGAGGTGAAAATCCTCCCTCTAATACTGTATCTGCAGTTACAGCTAAGAAAGGCCAGGGAAACCATTGGAACCTACTGGGAAGTTGAAAATTTAGGCTGAAGAGCTGCAACGGGTGACAACTTCTGAAGGTCCACTAGAGAGGAGAATAGTTTTACAAATAAAGTTCC